CGCGCCATTTTTTTCGTTGTATAATAATTTACATTACTACTTTCTTTATAAAATACTTCTATTTGTTATATAATAATAAAGATACAAGCTGTCAAAGTAATGTCAAACGCAACCATCTCGATGACAACCGATCAATAATAAACAAAAAAGTTAACGCAAATGTCACGATGACAATCGCTTGATGAAATAACGCATAACGTGAATCGATCAATGAACAATGCGGAAAAAAGGTCTCAAAAGTAAATAACATGTCTTTTTTAAGATATATAATCATTTTTTGACATAATAAGATGGGAAATATCTTAGAAAGTTCTTATGACAAAAAAGTTTGAAACAAATGTTTTGAAAACGTCTCGACATTAACTACAAAAATATGCAATAAGAAATAGGGATTGTCATTTAATATTATATTGACCTTGACACGGTTTTACAACGTCATTGCAAGATCAAATAAATATTATCATCTTCTTTCCCCCTTGAAATTTTACAACTTTTGTTCATTACACGTTTTCATACCTTCCTTAATTTCCGAGATATTTATCTGGGGCATTTAAAATGCATGTAGATATTTGAAGACGATATATTTTACTTGTTCAAATTCATTGCGGCGTTCTCCTAGATTTTCACAAACATGAACATGACTAGTTAAGCTGATGAATAAAATATGTTTAATGTACGATTAAGCCTTGTAGATATTAAACCTTGTAATATATAGACTCGTATTTTTAATTCTTATCTTGCATTTCTTTATGTTTCAAATGTGTTCTTATTGAATAAATAAGGTTAGAATTATAGAGATTTAGCTGCGAGTATGGTGAGAATATAGGCTATGTTCTTCGCGTAAAATAATATATTTTTGAACTCGAATGTATCACTTTCTTAGTAATGCCGAAGCATTTATTTTCACACATTTTTGTAAACGAACGAAACGTTTGTTTCACTAAAATACGACGATAAAATTAAATAATTTAAATTCATCTTTTTATTATCATAACATACACTTCTCTTAACATTACTTCTCTTATTTTGGCTATATTATCAAATAATATTACAACTTACAATGAATATTCTAAGAGTAATGGAAATTTATGTAATAAGCAACGATTGATAATGATCTTTAATCAGAAATTTATGTTGCGCTATTGGACTGTTCAAAGTTTAGTTTAAAACTTAATCACGAGCTGTTTCTTTGGATAATATTCTTTCGCAATATTCAAGAACGTCGATGAATATGTGTTTTGTACATACTTGTTTTTCATAGTTAATAATGGTAATTACGTTTTTGAGATAACGGTCCTTGATGTAGACAGGTTTGTAGATAAATGCGAATTGAAATAGACCTGATTTATTCGAGTGATAGCTGCACGTTGGCGATTACTATTTTATTGTAAATGCGTCTGAGTATCTCAACGATTCTACATGATAACGCGAGATCGCGCTCTCGCAATTGCGGCTACACACGCTGATAAACGGTCTATGATACCGCTGCGATTATTATTAAAAAGTAATGGAGTTCGATCGACGCAAAATGCGGTCGAGTATTTTATCCTTATGGCCTTTGTGCATTTGTAGCAGTAACTCTTAAGAATCTGTACATGCGCGGAAAAGATTGACTGTGAAAACACGATTGTGAAAAAATGTATGCTACTTTTAGTTTGAGAACACAATACAATTTTGATTCGTACGTGCAAATTTCTTATGTTACAACTCGAGGATAAAATTTTTATTTATTACACATCATATCTGAAACTGCGTTATGTCAAAATGATGTTGGAGGCAAAAATCAAGTGTCTACTGAGATAAAATAATTATTAATTTTAGTGACAAATAACTTAGTTCAGTATTTTTTATCGTGTTTTATTTATTTTAAATTAAAAAATATATTTTTATCATATTCTTTCATCGGGAATTATTTTCTATATATATATATATTATTACACGTAAAACGTAAATCGATAAAGAAAAAAGTTTTCTGTAAATAAGAAATTTTTAAACAAACCAAAGTAAAATGGTAAGAGAGCGTAATAAAAAGTAAACAATTCTATTCGCTTTTTTATCTAATACTAACACACAAGCTACGCGTGTAGCGCGTTTACTTTTTTTAATTCGTTTAATTAACCTTAAAATATGAACTGTCAAAGTGTGCAACTTGACAGACGCTTATGATACGAACTGAGTGCAATGAAAAAATCAATTGGCATCGCGGAAAAATGGCAACAATGAACCTCGATACTATCGAAATATATCGGTAACATGCCTTTTTTAAGAGAAGACTGAACACACACAAGCGCGCCGTACACATTAAAAGAATTTTTAATTACAATGAAATATAAAATATGTACATTTTACTATTAAAATCTTCGCAATGACAACTGTTCACGATATGAATGTACTACGTTTACACGTTAATCTTAATTGGGTTTAGTAACATCCGTAGTTATGAAACTGGCCAATCACAGCTATCCCTCTGAAAAATGGAATGACTGTGATTGGCCAGTTTCATAACTACGGATGTTATTAAACCCGATTAAGGGTGACGTGTAGTCATTGATATATTTTAATGATTAATCGGATATTCGTAAAGATACAAAAATGCAATCTCGAACTTTTGATAATTTCGATACAAAACACATGTTTTAGACGTTTCGTGACTTTTTTTATTATGGATCATTTACCACCAATAAAACATAGTAACATGATCAACCGATATGTCATTTTAATATAGTTGACATTATAATGAGTTGCCTTCTTAAACAACAATTGTTAAACAACAATTGTTTAACGGCATTGTGTAACTGTAAACGTGAATCTATTGGTTTTTACTTGCATAATACAAAGAGAGAATTTAAAGTAGGTCGTGGTTTGCAAGACAAACCGCAGCATGCATTTGCATGCAGAAAGTATGTGCGTATACCTGTGCCATGCACCGAACAGAAGGTGGTAAGTATGGCGCAACAATGGAAAAATTCCGTTTGCACAGCTTGTCAGGAAGACAGTCCACGTGCATCGTCCCGAGAAGGGAAAATGCCTGTGAGAGATAGAAACAAAGATGGCACAGTACTGTCATGCATACATACCGGGTGATCCATTTTAATGATGAGAATCACCCAGCTCAACATCGCCCGTGAAATGTAGCAGAAACTATAACTATTACTGCGGATATTGTTTTTGTAATTAAAAAAACTATCGTTGCGTGAAAATGTAGAATCTGAATTACATTAATGCAAAATTATTTTGTGTAAAAAGAAGTTATGGTATTAATAAGCTCGATTTTCCAAATTTCTTTTTTTTAATACAAGTAATCTTTTTGTATGAATGAGGATATTTTGATTTCTTTTTCATTCTTAATAATTTTCTGATTAACTAAATGATTATAGTTACAAAAGTTATATCTTATTTTTCAATTTTTAGAATTAACATAAATTTGATTTTTTGATAGCTATTTCTATTTCGAAAAAATCAGTAACTAATTACGTTTCACGCTGCGAATCATAATATTATCATTTATAGTCAAGATTTATTGAATCATTTTAAAGATCTTGCGTATCGGAATTATGGGCGACATTTGCGTAGACATCAAGTGTTTATCAGTTTTGCGAACTACAGGTGAATCTTTGATAAGTAAGGGTGAAAAGTATGATGGATGAACGCTCTCCTTTGATATATATAACAGCTCGTTAGGCATTGAGTAAACAGCACAAAAACCCATGTACGTCTAATCTTGAGAGTTGGCAGGTGATGTCTTTCGCGTATTCGAAGCGGTTATCATCACCGGTGCAATTTTTATCGAGTATTAAAACCATGTGTACTCAGTGTACAATTAATGCTAAAAATTGTCACTAAAACGTTCATTTTCTTTCTCATATAAATGCGCATTTAGAAATCTATTTAACGCTTTTATGATTATTTACATTCAATTTTGTCACAGAAAACATCATAATTAAAATAAATAAATATAGCAGTTATTTAATTTACAAATTTTTTATTGTACAAAACTTAAATTTTATTCTAAATAATATTTTAATATTTCAGATGATAAGAATCAAAAATAATGAAAAATCTATGTTACACGTGTTATTTTTAGATAAAAAACACCAACAAGTAAATAAATCGTAAATGGCGTAAACGCGTGAGTTGAGTACCCCTTTGTTACGAGCGACAATGAATGCAGTTCGTGTCAGGTGTGTCAAATCGTCGCACACAGGTGCGAATAACTACAGTCTACATCGCTGCCTGTTATTTCTCCGGCCTATGCAAGCAAAGATTAGACGCGGGATAGAAACAATAAGCGCATAAGTTATAGAGGGCTTTTTCCATGATTGTCAGTGTGGATCCAACATGTACCGCAGCAAAAGACATTGTTTTGTAACCCGCGTTTGATTGTTCCACTTTTCACGTACAAAAGTATTCTTTGATTATATATCATACTTGCTAACTTGTAAGAAACACATGAATTAAAGCAAGGTTATTATGATTTTATTTTGTAATATTATAAGCTGAAATTATATATGCGAAAACAATCTATTCTATTATTTCTCATTTTTATAAGATGAAAATAAGATTTATAATCATTCAATTTTTAATTTTGATTTGAGAGTATAAATCAATTTGTTTCTATATATTTTTAATCTACGAGCAATCGTTCAAGTAAAGACTGATTTTTAAAAACTATACAATTTTTGTTAAAGGTTGTGAATTTGATTTGGCTGAACAAACTTCTGTTAATTTTTTTTAGCTTATTTATATTTTGCAAGACATTTTATAGTAAATAAATTTTATGATTAATTTTTATGATAGATTTTTCAATTATTTCCCGCGATGTATGATTTTCTTTACAATCTATTTCTTTGTGAAGAAATTTTTATTAACTTTTTAATCATTTTTTGTTTATCAAAATTGTTTACATCAGATAATTAAACGGATGCATTTAATTATATGATATAAAACATGTTTATCGAAATTGTTTGTGGAAATATATGCTGATTTAATTTTAGAAGAGAATGGAGAGAGATTTTAATAAAATCGTGCTACGTCTACTGTTAAGAAAATTGTAACACAACAGAAATGAATGAGAATAAGAAAGGTGTCATCGACATTGCCGAAATGCCTTATCCACAGTGGACCACTACGAAAACTTGGCAACCTGTCGCTATTAAAGTTCAGTAAGTAATACAAATTATGTATTGAAATATATTATTTTATTGTTGTAACTATATCCAAGTGCATATATTGTTAAATTCTTATTTTAAATAATATTAATCTTAGAGGATCACAAAGCCAAAGCCAGATGTAGATGCTTGATTATTTCTTTTTATTCTTAATGAGTATACGTTTCAGTCAGTCTTATTTTACTATGATATTTACTATAGTATTTACTACGGTAATACAATTTGAAAATAAATTCTACAATAAATAGAAGATATATAATCACACTGACATATATTGACATGCTTCATATTTTGATATTCAAATATAATTTGTAATCCACATGCTTTTATTGTTAATTAAAGGTGATTTAACGGATTTAATTTAATTTTCTCAAATAAAATAAATATGGCAATTTAAAACAGCAAGACTAAACAAATCTGACTAACGAGCACTCCGTATAATAAAAATCGATTTATCAATTATGATTTTCAAATAAACGCCTTTTCCAACAAGGGCGGCTGTGTGCAAACATTTCAATTTAATGATAGAACATTCTCGGTAACGATCACGCAATTCGTGAAACCTGCGCTGGAATTAACTGTGACTATTTTTTTTACGCGCTATACATTTTAGTTGCATTAAATGTTATTGATTATGTTATAATTTTTATAAATGCTATCTTTAATTTTTAATATTGTTATGTTCGGGTATGTATACTTCAATTTTTTGTAATTTTTTCTGATAAAAATAAATTTAAAAATTTCTTATATTTTATCACAATCTATTAATATTATATTGTTATGTATATTTTATTCTATAATTGCGAGTCGATATAAACGCTGTACGATGCAAATTATTTCGTGCCGTACACAAGCTTTCCGTGTCGAGGTTCTCTTGCAATGACTCGTCATCTGACTTTTATTCTGAAGTTTGAGGTGATCGATGTGAAGTTTGACATCACACTAATTATTTAAACGATTATATCTCAACTGCATGAGCATTTTCCGCGTATTTTCACTACGTTATTCTATAAAAAATATATTATATGAAAATTAATATAGCGGAATATAGCTGTTTATTTACTATTTAATTACTTACTATGTGAAATAAATGTAATATAATATGTATTTCTCAAAAATAGATTTTTTTAGAAAGCAGAGAAAGAGAATTAATTTTTAACAAACTATACTATTTCCTTAAAAAAAATAAAAATAAAATTTATTCTTAAATTTTTTTTATTTTTAAAACTGTAAAAAATATTAGAAAAAATTAAATAAGACTTATTAGATTTTGTAATTTATAAAATTAATGTTTTAATTATTTAATTTATATCTCCAAAATTAAATCTCCTAAATTCTTAAAAATTAAATGTTTTTCGGAAAATGGACTTAACCTTTTCCTATTACCATTTATTCACGATGACATCAGATTTTCTTTCCTTCGAGGCGCATATTTTTCTCTCGCTGTGTACGCATCCGAGTTTTCGCGTCTCATCGTCTCGGTTGAGGTCTCAGCAGCCCCGCGTTTCTACTGGCCATTCGAAGTGGACGTTTATTGAGTCTCTGATGTTTATAAAACGCCCTCCACCCTGCCTCCTCACACGATAAAGCTTAGAAATAACGAGTTATATCTTCTGTGCGTCATGCGATCGTGTACCGTGCACACCGTCAATTGCAGCGCGCCTCGCGCAAGGTGTGTTTTTGAGGACGAGTGATAAAAATTTCTAAACCAAGATAAAACTCCCAAAAGTTGTGCTCAATTGATGTAGTGTAAATAAATATCAAAACAAGTTAACGGAATAGAAAAAGAAATAAAATTCATATTCTTTATTTGCCAAATTCTATTGTAATCCAAAAATCTTTTATACATGTGTAAATTAAGATAAATAATTAAAATATTTCTTGTTTCAAATTTTGAACCGTAAAATTATTATGATTTATTTTGTAGTGATGCACAAAAATACTTAATTCAACACCAAAGGAAATTGGATGATATGAGTGTTTTATTTCTATTAAATTTATGTGTTTTTAAAGATGTATTTAGTTGACCTTAAATGTCGATTATTTGATTTTATATTTAGCATGCAGCGCTAGCCTCGACGGATATGTTTAAAATATATAAGTAATCCTTTTTAGGTCGCCCAACAAAAATAACCTGCGTAACCTGCGGAACAGCAGGTTTGATTCCATGAAAACCGACTTGGTTGTACCCGAAAGTAAGTTTGATCTTGTATTTGCTTTAAATTAATTGTCGTGATTTATAATTGATTTTTGTGGATTATATCACGTGGTGTGATGATTTTTAGTGTCGTCCACCATACCCCCATCGGAGACTTTCAACCCTGCTACTGATAGTTTACATGCGTCTATGAGACCGATCATCATGCTGGCTCAATGCTTCTCCATGCTTCCGGTGTGCGGTGTCAATAGACCAGACGCTTCATATCTTCGGTAGGTGGAAACAGTGTTTGAAATAAGATGGAAGCAAAATAAAAAAAAATATATCGATTAATGGCATACGAGTCGATAGCATATGAGATATAATAATTGATTGCACAGTTGTACAATTAAAAGGTTCATAACAAAAACAACCCTTGTCAAAAATTGAGGAGATTGAGATAATAACGTATTCTAGTCAGGTAGAACCTACAATGCGGTTGCACCAATTCTCATAAAAACTCATGCTTTTATTTATCTTGTTAAAAAGTTTGCATATTTCTATTAAAAACTTAAGGATAACAAAATGTTTTTCTCTTCTTCTGAAAAAATGAAAAAATTGACAAGAATTTTTTTGTTATGAAGCTTAAATTAGTTGAGATGCTACTTAATTGACTATTTATTTATTTCTTCTGTCATTCATTTATTCTGTTTATTGTAACACACACATAGATACATACCAGTTTTTAAAAACAGTTATTGTTTTTTCTTTCCTTTTGTCATAAAATACTAGAAGAGGACCTTGAGTTTACTCCAAATAAACTTCACTTTACAATCTTCCGTTTTACAAAACCCCGGATTTACGATTGCTAATTTTGAAAATAATAATATTTAAACTTTAAAACTATACATACTATACCTATGATGTATGTTGTTCAAGTGTCTTACAATCAGTTTCTGAGAGTGGATTCTCATGACAACGGTGATAAGAGTGGCTAATTCCTACCTTTATTTTGTTATGATACTTTACTTTACGAACTGTCGTTTTACGATTAATACACTACGAGTCAAAATTAAGGGATAGAAAATTTCGGGTCAATTTTTGGGTGTTTTTTGAGCGGCTGTATCTCCGCGAAAAATTGAAGAAAAAAATCTTTAAGAAAAGCGTTTTAAAGCTTGAATTTTCTAGTTTCTGAATTTTCGCAGAAAACTCCTGTATCATCATTTTTAACTGAGTTATCCTCCATTGAACGGACCAATCCGGAAATGAAAAAATTTCCTCAAATTGGGCAACGTGCATGGACCAGAAAATTTTTTTTGTTAAAAACCGATTCCACGACGTTAAAGCTCATACAATTCTCAACAATTTGCTTTTTTATTGAATGCTGTGCGATTTTTTTGACCGAGTACTGCCGTTAGGCGCTCATGCATGTTTATGCACCGCCGTATCGCTGCTTACGGTATCCGCTGCCAAACTTGGCGAAATGCTCGTGCCAACTGCCGTGTTATTGTATTGAAAATCATATCGGAAATTAGACTTGTTATCGTGGAAATAACCAAGCAAGGATTAATGATCAGATGAAAAATGTTTCAAATTTTTGCGTTATTGGCATTTTGGGGGCGAAATGAAGGATTTTTAGTCATTTTCGTACGTTAACATAACTTACGAGCTTCAGAACACTAGAAAAGAAAAATCCAGCGCTCTCGGGATTTTGCGTGGTTACTGGGCATACCTTTAACTAAAAAAAACCGTGGACACTCAGGGGTTTCAATCATTTTTCACGAAGTGGCGCCCAGGTGAATGATAAAAGAGAAAAACGCGATTTTTAACACGTTTTTACAGTCGATATATCAAAATAAAAAAAATGTCAGATCGAAATTCTGAAGAGAGCGTCTTATAGGGGGGACTTTGAACTTTCCAAAAAGCCCATGGTGAATGCCGTACGACAATTTGTTCCGGAGCTACGGATGTTTAAGTTAAAAACACGAATTTTGCTTTAACCGCCAATAACTCGGTCAAAAAAAATCGCACAGCATTCAATAAAAAAGCAAATTGTTGAGAATTGTATGAGCTTTAACGTCGTGGAATCGGTTTTTGATAAAAAAAATTTTTCTGGTCTATGCACGTTGCCCAATTTGGGGAAATTTTTTTATTTCTGGATTGGTCCGTTCAATGGAAGATAACTCAGTTAAAAATGATGATACAAGAGTTTTCTGCAAAAATTCAGAAACTAGAAAATTCAAGCTTCAAAACGCTTTTTTTAAGATTTTTTTCGTCCATTTTTTGCGAAAATACAGCCGCTCAAAAAACACCCAAAAATCGACCCGAAATTTTCTATTCCTTAATTTTGACGCTTTAGTGTAGTTAGGAACGAATTAATTTGTAAATCGAAGTTTACTTGTCTTTTTATGTGAGTCGTTATTTTAAAGGTAATATAGTACAATTTTCTCGATTTTAACGTTAATGTTTTTCAAATCTTTAACTTTGCGCACCTTACAAATCTCAAATGTCTCGCAGATTTACATGGCGCAGTCCAAAAATTCTATATTCAGCGATTGTTTTCCTGGGAATAGTTACTGTGTCAGTTTGTAACGTGTGGCGGTTGTGTTCAACGGGATTAAATTCCACCAAAATGAGTAAGTTACTTTTAATAATAATAACATTGCATTCACATCGAACTATTTTTGAATGATGCTTGTTCTAAATATTAGCGACCTTTGTCTTCTATGCTACAACTCTGGTGACTGCCGTCTTGTTTCTGCAGCTGGCAAGACAGTGGCCTTGCTTGGCATTAATTTGGGAGAAACTTGAGCGCGAATTTACTTCCAGACACCGAAGAGTTTCAAAGACCACCCTTGCAACTCGTTTTAAAATTGTAACTGCCGTTGTCATGTTGCTCGCATTAGGTAAATTCTATCTTAATAAATGGGTAAATGTTTAAAATAACGCAATCAGGCTCGTCAAGGTCATACTTCTGAATAATATTCTAAAGATTTTAGCTGTCGCTCGTTATTTATTAATAAATTATTAACCAAGTTTGCGAAGTAAGACGTAAATTTTGGACACCATGTATATTTAATAGAATGTTTCTTTCGCAGAATACTTATTTAAACGTGATAAATTGAATACATGAGAAACAAGATAGGCTCCGAATAATGTTTTCGAACATAAATAGGTTTGATTAGAGTTATTCTGAGTGGATTTGCAGGGGGAAAGACGGAGTCCATTACTTAATAAATGTAAATGCATTGTGAAAATATTCTGAATAACGGTCTTAAAATTTATTCATTGATAAGTGATACAAAAACTAAAGGATACAAAAAAGCCATTATCCTACAAAATCCTCGTATTCGCTCATTGCATCTCACACAAATAATTAATGAGAGTTTGTTCATTATATATTACATGTAAAAATTCGTGCAGCAACATGTTAACGCCAGGAATTCACAACAGCAATTGTGTACCTGATAATACTTCAGTAATACAATTAAGAGGAACATATTTAACACATAACAACAGCATAACAATCTATTTCTTCAAAATTTCTTGACAGGAAAATTAAGAGGAGCATTGATTTGAAGTCAAAATAATAGCTTGCTTGTATCTATTAACGAATTATGATACATACTATTTATCGATGAATAAATTGTAAGATTTCGTTGTTTATAACATTTTAACAATGCATTTACATTTATTAAGTAAAAGGTTCACTCCTACCCGCTCATAAATTTAATTTGTCACGTTTAAATTAAATAAATACTTCAGCGATGAATACATTTTACTAAATGTACATGGTGTGCGAAAATTACATTTTATTTTCCAAATTTTTTGGTTAATAATTTTTCAATAAACAATAAGCGGCGACTAAAATCTTTTTTTTGTTACTCAGGACAATGGCTTTGATAATATATGTCAAGGTTAAGACAATTGAACCTGACTGTTTTATTCAAAACATTTATTAATAAATGAAATAAGAATTATATTTACTCGAATTTATATTTATAACTATTTTCTTAATAACATTTATTAATATTAATAATTTATAAATTAAATATTTTATACAGTGGAACACAGTGCCGCTGTTGTTTCCGCATATATCAGTGCAGTGGAATGTGCAGCATATCGCAACGATACAGACGTCATCGGCACTTACTTTCAATCACAATTTCCTCAGGTAAGATTAGGTATTGAATAAATTTAAACGCAATTATCTAATTTAAATTTTTACTGTTTTTTAAATATTTCAATATGTGTTTATATAAATAAATTAAAAAATTTTTACTTCTTCTCTGTATTCATTAAAATAAATCGAAAAATTTTTTGGTAACAATTAATAAAAACTTATGTAATAATGAATTAGCATGTGAATTCAATTATCATTCTCTATACAGTATATGATATTATTAATCGTTAATTTTATATAGATTTTCTCAAGAATTTCCTACAGTCTCTGGAGAGGAATTTTGGTTGAAGTTATAAATATTCTCAGTACATTCTCGTGGAACTTTGTCGATCTCTTTCTTATTCTGATCAGCATAGCTTTGGCAGACCAATTCAGGCAATTAAACAGTCGTCTTTATGCGATAAAAGGAAAGGTAAAATATTAAATACTTGAAATAATTGTTTTTATTAACGCTATTAACTCATCACTACTAACAACTCTTAGTATCATTTCGTTGTTAAGGCAATGCCGGACTGGTGGTGGGCTGAGGCTAGAAACGATTATAATCACTTGGCGACCCTAACGCGTAGAGTGGATTCTCACATCTCGAGTATCGTGCTTCTGTCCTTTGCCACCGACTTATATTTCATCTGCATTCAACTGCTGTTTTCCTTCAAGTATTTTTCATACATACATAATAATAAATATGATCTTGCTTGTGTAATCTAATGTAAGTTGCGTAAATCCCGTATCAGACTACGCATTGGGGATTGAGATTGCGAACTGAAGATTGGAATTTGACCAATAAGGACAAAATAACTTAAAAGCAATATTAACATAATTGGACAATCTTCAATCTTCAATTTTTAATCTTAATCTCCAATGTGTAATCTGATACAAATCTTAATAATTGTCGATTTATGTTGCAATATAAGATGGTAATAATATTACCCAGTCAGCAAAGTCTGTCCGAACAGGTATTGCCAAACGTCTGCTACAAATTTTTGTCAGCAGAAAAACTGCAGATTGTATACAAAACCTGTTACATCAGATAATGATAGCAGATTATCAGCAGAAATGTTACAAAATCTGCTGACATAATTTGACAGCAGATCAGTAGCAGAAACCGAACAGAATTTGCTCGGAATTATTACAGCAGATTGGTGGCAGAAATCGAGCAGGACCTGCGCAACACAGTTTGATGTCAGATTGACGGCAGAAATCGAGCAAAATCGGCGTAGTGCAATTTGATGTTTGCCGCTATGCGGCGTGTTTTTTCATATATAAACTCGTACTCAAGATTCATCTACAGTGCATATAAAGTGTAGCCAGTGGTTTCATTAAGCTTATCAGTTTAATACAATAATCTGATACAATTTCCATAGGAGATTCAGAATATTAAACTGATTTTTGAAATTGAAAATCCGCCGCGAGTTGACCCGATATTGCAGTGATTTCGGGATTTGGCTTAATAAAGGACCCCGCACATTTTATATGAAAAAAGTGGCTTTGGTTAAATAGGCTGAAATTGAAATATGTTATAGTTTAGGTGATGCTGATCAAAAGTTTCCTCTGGCAAAAGGTCCGAAAATCAAAAGTATAAAAGATACGATGATTTGAAGTGAGTGCTATCGGAGTTAAAGAAATGCCTGTTTTTGAATTCACAGATTAAGTTAATATATAAATGTTTGAAAAAATATACATATATATGAAGTATGCCATTTCTACAGTATTTAATGATTCCAAACCCTTTCTGATGTGCGCGCGCGCGCGCGCGCGTGTGTGTGTGTGTGCACGCGTGCGCGTGCGTGTGTCTGATCTCTGCGTAACACACACACACGCACGACAGAAAAGGTTTGGAATCATTAAATACTGTAGAAGTGGCACACATTATATATATGTATATTTTTTCAGACATTTATATATTAACTTAATCTGGGTATTTAAAAACAGGCATTTCTTAAACTGCAATAGCACTCATTTCAAATCATCGAATTTTTTATACTTTTGATTTTCAAACTTTTTGCCAAAAGAAACTTTTGATTAGCACCACCCAAACTAAAACATATTTTAGTTTCAGCCAATTTGACCAAAGCCACTTTTTTCATATAAAATGTGCGGGGTCCTTTATTAAAACATAAGTATTTTTTTTGTTCCAATAAAGCAAATATATATTACATACTTTGCATACCTCATTTACTACTTTTAATAAGCGAAATGTAAAATTGTAATGAAGCATTTAAATGTCGCTATTTTATTTAAATTGTGACGGCAGGTTTTGCTCGATTTCTGTCGACAATCTGACATCAAATTGCACTGCGCAGATCCTGCTCGTTTTCTGTCGCCAATTTGCTGTTAACCTATGTTGACAGGTCGGCAGAACACGAGCTTAATGCGGCACCGTATCTGCTGCCAAGTTCTGAGCGAATCTGCTCGCAAACTGCCGGCAGGCTGCTAACATTTTGTTGACTGGGTTAGCAATGTTAATAATCAACAAGTAAAAACTTATCTTTGTGTTCCAATAAGTGACATCGCAAAATGCTAATCGTCTTATTATCAGTTAATATAACCACAGTTTAACCAGTATGTTCACACGATATAGGCAGGAAGGAGGATAAGTTAAGCAGGCTCACTTCGCGCATTCATCATTTTAATCGGTGAATCATACTGGACCAATCAGACATAATTTATGAATGTGTTACTGTAGAATCCATGAGTCAGTAATATAACTACAAAAAAGAGACGTTGAAACCACAGTTGAAACTGACTTAAATAGGCTAAACATCGGTTGAATATAGCTTTCCAAAGGATACCGCACATTCTTTATGGAAAATTGTCTCCCAATGAACTTTGTTCAAATTTTAGGATTTTATAGTTCATGTGACGCTACACAAAACTCAATGGACACAACTCTTTAGGAACTATAGCTAATTTAATTAGTTTAGTCTGCAGAGAGTGTCAAAAATTGATAATTTTTAAGATGTTTTCTGCGAAAATTATCATATTTTTGCAGTTGTCTGCGAATTTCAACAAATAAAACAAAAATTTATCACGTGGAGGTGTCTGCAATTTGAGTCTTATCCAGACCCTTCCACCCATCTATCTCCCCCAAATAATCGTTTAATCATTAATGATCATAATTCTATTTGCTAGCTAGTTAAAGTTTAGAACGTTCTTGGAGCAACTTTTTTTAAATAACAGGCCGACATTTTTAGACTTTTTGTCTGCTGTTTGAATATAATATACCATTTTTGATGTATTTTTTCACGTTGAACACGAATCCGACCACAAAATTGTTCTATCATTTCAGGTTTTTGAGAAAAGTAAGGTTAAAAGTGTCAAAAGTGACGTTTTTGGCATTTTTATGATTTTTTCGCTGGTAAAGTAAATGTTACTTTTTACTTTCGTTCACGCTATCTTAAAGTGCCAACTTTTACCTTTAAGCTCGATTTTTTTTACACTCTATACGATTTTTTTTTTCGCTGAATTAATCTCTCCGCTGTCAGATATGTGAAGAAATGTGTTAACCTCTCCGCTGTGTTTGATCAGTAAGGTACAGCTAACTTTTGCTCGTATAAAGTGCATTATACACAGAAGATTTAAAATGCCAGAATCTCATTCGGGGAAGTAAAATGTAACCCACCCAGTAAAAAAAACTGTATGTACCAAATTTTCTTGATATTTAAATATTTTTACAAATTTTGGTCCATCATATAGGATCAGCTATTTTAAATTTTGAAAATATTATTTCAGATTCGAATTCAGCGATTTCTAAAACCCTTCATATTAAAAAATCGTCATCCAGTTCTGAAATTTTGTTTTCCAAGTACATTTTTGGCACGAAATGTTCATCTTCGTCTGACAGTGGAGAGGTTAACACGGCGAAAAAAAATCGTATAAAGTTTCAAAAAAATCAAGTTTAAAGATAAAAGTTGGTACTTTAAGATGGCGTGAACAAAAATAAAAAATAAAATTTACTTTACCAGCGAAAAAATCATAAATATGCCAAAAAACGTCAATTTTGACACTTTTAACCTTACTTTTCTCAAAAACCTGACCTAATAGAGCAATTTCGTGGCAAGATTCGTGTTCAGCGTGAAAAAAATACATCGGAAATGGTATATTATATTCAAACAACAAAAACCATGTCGGCCAGTGTAATTTGTCTTTAATAAAATTTATCATTTTTTCTTTTGCACAGAGAAACTACTAAGTAACACAAAAATATAAAATATAAAATAGATATATTCCAATTTCGATGCAATATTTCCTGCGGAAGACACCCTTATACCTAAAAAACCACCCACGAGATTACTTAAAAAATTCTTGTCATGCCAAAAATGATTTGTTCCATTTCTTTTTTTGCACCAGCATTAGCGTTACCCGATGTATAAACATATTTAATTTGTTATATATATAATATATTTATAACAATATATACAGAGTGTCCAAAAAGTCCCGGAATGGTCAAATATCTCGAAAATAAAACATTTTTGAGAAAAATTTTCAATAAGAAAATTGTTGGGTTTTAAGTGACGCATTAGGTAGTAATGTTAGTATAACTTTATATTGTTAAGGTCACGTCAAAATTACTTTGAAATTTTTTAATGGAAACCTCTACTTTTGATTGCATATTCTTGTAACTGATCTCGAGAGCTTTTCAAAACAATCTAAAGTTCCTTTTCATTAAGTATTTTCCGACTTATGAGGCTTGAGAGGTACAGTATCGTCAACATTGGTTGCGTTCCATAAAGCGTATATGTGCGCATGTATCCATAGTATACGTAAACGTTTACTATAAACGTTTACTATAGATATATGCGCGCATATGTGCTTTACGGAACGCAGCCATTAATATTACCCGATGCACACCACGGAGAGGTTGCCTTTTCGGATTTTGCGCATTGCTTGCACGCATACCCTTACGTACTTTCTCCCTGTGTGTGCATCTCTTCTATTCGACTTCCGCGTGAGCCGCATCCTCATTCCGGCATCACTGGACAGCCTCATTCGGGCACCTTTGCGGCTACAAGGAGCTAATAAAGCTAAGAGAAGTGTTTCAAAGTGTGTAGAAGGTCACTCCATACACTGTTTCGATATTCTTCCAATAACTTTATTAATTGATTACGTTTATAAAAATGAAAAATACTTTTATTAAATGATTATCGTTATAGAAATAAAGACTCGGCCTCTGGTGTAAGACTCGGCTTACTTTATACTATTCGATTTTTACAAGGCTCAGTTTATTCTATACGTTTCTTACAAGACTCGACTTGTTTCTAACTAATTCTTCAGACAGCTTGTCTTATATAATATCGTCTGAAACCGCGGGGAATCAATCCGCGTCGTCGTTTACAATGAGCCAATTGGAATCGAGATTCGGCTATCGATCGAATATCAAACGCTGTTATTGTGACGCCAGCACGCTTCGCTCGGCGAAACATCTTAGTGGACCCACTATTGTTTTTTCGTCACAACACGAAACGAGACAAGCCAACAGTGCGAATTGTAGTACTTTGTTTTTTCTTTTATGAAATACAATATTGTTGTTATTTAAGAAGCTGTTCGAAGGTACTCGTCTCCCGATCCCTGATTCGTACACTATTTTGATACATTTTTTGATACAATTAATTAAAAATGTATTTAACTGAGAGAGAATGAATAACAGTTCTTATGA